GGGCTACAGTCGGGGGATGAAGACTCATCGAAGGGATCGTCCACTCGGTCCAGGTACTGTATCAGTGTTGCCATTATCTTCTCGTTCCCATTATACTCCCAATACACTCTGCGACTTAATGACCGCAACGCTAGTGCGACTGTCAGATTGGACAAAATAACGCGGACTGGGAGTCAATCTCTCGAAAACGGAACTCTGTTATTCACAAATAAATACAAACATTAAGTGAACGCAGGCTTTCCTTCAGCGACAGTGTCCGTTACTTAAGGTTGGTTAAATGATAAGAAGCTTAACTGGAGCCTGAATAGAAAAGAAAGAGTGAAGAAAGCCACGACAGAAGGCCTCTATGCATGTAAAAAAGGCCATTGGGCTTACTTTCGTACAACTGCAGTAAAAGTGCGTTAAAAGATCATAGATTTTAGTAGATAGACGGATATTAAGGCATAACCTTTGCCCCTCTACTGTACTGAGTAATACACTATGCCGTCGTTTCCAGGAGCAACGGGACAAGCAAATAAGAAGCAGCCCTACATTTCCTTCAGTTAGCAAGGGCGAAAATGAAATTGATTGTTCAGTTTTCATAATGCCACGACACAAGGCTCTGATGGAGGTTGGGCGGCGGATCATGAAGCGCTTCGAACAGCTCGCTCTGAATGTGGAAGAGGGCGTTCTCAAGAGCGACCTGAACAAGCATCATCAGATTCGTAGATGGCATTATCGAGAGCTACATATGTACATATGTGAGGCCGGTGGACTGCACAATGGTCAACATGACCCACTGTGGGTGGTATCGTCATCTACTTCGGTAATGCTTTTCTCATACCAGACGTTGGCGACCTGGATATGGCGCAGAAGCGGCAATGGATCCCAAGGACACCAAGCAGCTTTGAACTCAACTGAAACTGAAAAGTCGGCACACATCTATAATTTCGTCAAATGCCAAAAGAAGACATTATAAAGGATGTTGGATGTGACAATACATCTAATAACTAAATGAGGAATACCCCTGATACAAATTTACCACATATCTACTTACCATGAACACCCTGTGTTATGAAGACCTTTAAAATAAAAAGAATAATCTGTTCTGTTCTGTTGCAACATTCTTATAAACCACACGTGTTATTCTTTCCACCTATAGCATAATCCCCAACAATAACAACACAAACATAACACAATAACTAAAGATGATTAAGATAAGTAACGCCCAAACATTTCAGTTGTTATATGCAGCGAGGATTTTGAATGCAACAATGTCTCGCTCGCACAAAGTCGATATATGTATATACGGATCTAAAAATAGAAGGAACTTTCATGTGTAAGCACAGCACTATACTATACTATACTATACTATACTATACTATACTATACTCTACTATACTGTATAGTGCCGAAGACACGATTATGAAATTTCTTCTTCTTCGAAAATCCTTTTGCGATTGACTGGTTGGATGATAAAATAATATATTCTCGGCATTCATGTTTAATACTTCAGAAATATTCATTAGTTTAAATATAAAATAACGGCTTAAAATCCCCCACCCCATTTCATAATAATAATTTCGTAATGTTGGCGTATCGTTGAGAAATTAAATTTAATACAAACTTCCATAGAAAAGAAAACAATTGGAACACACAAAAATACCCTATCTAGGAAGGCTCTGAGCTTGCACTTGACTACAAATTGGTTTGAGTCGTAAGCAAACCTAGTCCTCAGTTCAGTCTTACATTTCTCTTTGTACAATACACATCTACAGATCTAAAATTATAAAGTTGTTTGTTTTTTTTTTTTTTTTGAATATTTTTGATCAAGTGCGAATACACTTTTTTCCTGTTTTGAAAATTTGTGACAGCTCTGCGGTTTTTGTTTCGTTGACTTGTTTTGTAGTCATGTCTGAAGACGACTGTTCATCGACTCGTGACTGGGCTTTGCCCTCCTCGAATGGGAAGCGATCCGATGCCGCTTACCGCAAACAGCGGATTCTACCCACACACAAGGGAAGAGCTGTGCTCAACCTTGCGGCACAGCGGCGTGGAAGGATGCCTTCAAAGCCCCGAGCCCCTTACCGTAGGGTGAGTTGTTTTGCCATCTAAGTCTGCCGGTCATCTAGTGCAGCAGCTCCCTTTTGCTCCCTACAGCCAACGCCATTGTCCGTGCATCTGGAGCGCCCGTATAAGGCTGAAGCCGAAAAAACGCGTCCCCATTGAGCGCAAAAGCAAACGCACATGTGGCAAGGACAAGCCCAAGAGCTCGGAAGTCTGTTGCTAAGAAGTCAAAGCGCAATGTCCAGAAGCCCTATTGCTAGAAGACCGATATGAACTATAGAAACAAAACTAGAATATGAAAAACAAAAACAAACCAAACGAAATGAAATGAACCGAAACAACACAAGACCATCGTCAATTCAGGAATCCTCGAAGCAAACTCAAATTGAACTTGAAGAAGCCCCAGGACGAAGCCGACTTGGTACAAAAGAGCCACCCACGAGCATACGGCGATTGTATCTGATGTGAGTACAGGGGACATGTGCATGTGGGTAATCCAATAGTCTATGATTCCAGGTAGAAGGATTAATTTTGTTCCCCTCGTAGATTTGGCGCCTGAGGAGGTGTCGGCCATCACTCTGCTGAACCGTGTGGAGACCAGTATGGCATGGGATCGACACGTGGAATACCAGCTATGCTATTGTCGTGGCCTTTTGTCTCTTCGAGAACCGACTGGCGCGACTGGCCTCTTAAAAGCTCTTAAAACGGATTGCCCAGTGAGTGGCAGTGCTGGATGGCAGGGAATGTATTCTGAATAAATAATAGTAGTAATTCAAGAGTATCCACCAAAATGTTAAAATATCGTAACCTAGATTCGCTGTATTCTTTGTGTTAGGTTTATGCTATAAAATATATTTTGTTTGCCAAAAGTGTGATTGTTGATTACAAAATCGATAGGCGCTGACAGTCGGTCAGCGTTGGTTAAGGTTGATCAAATTTTCGATACCGTGGATTAGCCTTCCGGAGCAGCTGCCTCTACGATAAAATCTTTGATCAAGTAGCTCCGTCTAGCTCTGTTCAGCTCCGACATTGGCAGCTATTGGGGGTTTTGGTGAAAATGGATGTGTGTAACGTCCAGAAGGAAGCGTTTCCGGCCCCATAAAGTATATATATTCTTGACCAGCTTCTATAGCCGAGTCGATAGAGCCATGTCTGTCTGTTCGTTTGTCCGCCCGTCTCAGAGACGTAAGAGCTAGAGTAACGACATTTCGTATCTAGACTACTGTGATATGTCACTGTTACAAGGTTTTTTTAAAACTTCACCCCGTCCCCTTCCGCCCAACAAAGGACGAAAATCTGTGGCATCCACAATTTTAAAGATACGAGACCGACCAAAAACGCAGAATCGTAAAAAATGAGCACCTAGATCTCAGAGACTATAAGAGCTAGAGCAATAAATTTGGTATCCACCGTCCTGTGATATCGAACCTCCGCAAGTGTACTTCAAAAATTGGCCGCACCCCTTTCCGCCCCCGCAAAGGACGAAAATCTGTAGCATCCGCAGATCGCAAAGAATATTAGAGCTAGAGTAACCAAATTCCTGTTAGATCTCACTTCTACTCATTTTGAGTATCGGGTATAATTAGTTTCGGACTCCCAACTCTAATTAATATTTCTTGGAAAAAAACTTGTTCATTCACTGAAATGTCAATTGCAATACCAATGCATATACTTCTTTAACAGCATATCACATTCAAAATTCGACCTTTTTAAATTTCTTTTCCAATTTTTCCCCTTATCATATAAATATTTCGAGTATTTTCGGGATCAACTGCTTGTAAAAGCACATATTAAAAGCTGCAACATTTAAAAATTATATGAATATCGGAATATCGGAATAGCGACAGATAGCTAGATTTTTTTCTTGGAACTCAGCTCCCCATTTTTATAAAAAATACAATTATTCGATTAGCAAACTGTTCGATATTAGGGCAAATCAATTGCTTACAATGAAACATCGAAAAACGGAACATCTGTCGATGTTTTAGAATCTCTTGAGATTGTCAAGAGATTCGAAGGCTTGTACTCGAATCGGCCTTTCTAAACGCTAGTTGTCAAAAAAGAAATCGTATTGTCCAAGCAAAGTAATTAATGCAATGCATTGCAATGGTATGGGCAAAATATCAAATCGCCTTATAAAGTGGTATTTAAAAATTTACTGAGGCTTAAATGTAGAAAAAATTTACATAATTTACAGAAAAATCATGATAGTCTCGTTTTTCAGGTGAATCTCGAAAAAGTGAATAGTACATAAACGCGGGCTCTGGAACAATTGGCATATTCTAGCATAATTAGAATAAGAACCCCATAAATTATATCATGAAAAGCTAGACCTCGCAAATAAGCAATCAGACATACGCTAAAGACACCTATATCGTTCGGTATTTTCTGTCTCTTTTCTCAATGTGTCCTGAAATGTCCTTGTCAACCGTCATTCGCGGGCTATGGCGCTAGCCCTTAACATTAATTGATTTAATTAGTTGTTTCAAGTATTCATATTAGGGTTTTCGACCAGTTTGAATCTCAATCAGACCAATCATAATATTGGTCTTAACACATAAGATGGTCCATAAGAATCAATTAAAGATATTGATTACCACTAGACCTCGGATTTTGCATATTTGCATATTTTTATCAGATTGTTACCAAAATTCTTATTTAGACGTTTGATCGTTCAAATATAACAAATTTGAATGCATATCAAAAATATGCATACAAAATATGCAAAATGTATGCAAACGAATTTCATCGAAAAATTTAAGCATATAGTACTTTCCCTTGTCCAACGCTTTATATTGTTTCACCATATTGGTCGCAAGCCCGACTTGAAACCAGAGCAAAACTTTATGACAACACCGAAGATGTGCCTCTTTATATGAAGTCTCTCTGTAACATATTGTTAGTGTAATTTCTTATCTGTTTGATCTCTGGCATTATTTTGAGCGATTGATTTGCCCGTTTTAATTTGTTTTAATTTTCTGCAGTCTTTGAAGTTAAGTGTAGTGAAATGCCGAAAATAAATAGGCGCAAATAAATTTTATGGGAAAATGGTTTAAGAGCCGTACCGAAAAGTGCTTTAAAATTGTTGTATCCCTATATCCCTATACTCATTTCGAGTATCGGGTATAAAAAGCACGGTATACAAAAAAAAATTTTGGCTTATTCACCAATTACGAAGCCGATAGCCGCTGTATTATTATATGCTGCAGGAACTGGAAATAGTTTCCTCTCTCTTTGCATTAAGATTCCGCGGGAGTGGCTGTGGATGTGGAAACTGAACTCTCGGCTACCCCGGGAAAGTTATCCAACTTGTGGGCTACATCCTGGACGCGGCAGCATTGCACAAAGCCATAGGCGGGGTAGTCGCGAAGACTGCCGAACACACTATTCTTCAGCCAAGCCACCTGCTCGCACATGGTGGGGCAGAATTCTTTCATGTCCTCGGCCTTGAACTGCAAGAAAGATCAAGAGACGTTTAGCCAAAGTTGTGGGGAACATGCCCCATGCACATGCCGACTTACAAAAGGGGAGTTGTGACCGATTACGACGAACTCATCCTGTGCCTTCCCAGTCGGGTGCAGGTCCCGCACATGGGCCCAGATGTGGGCGGGCAGTTTCAGCGGCGAGTGACCGTTGTCTAACTCGATGCTGAGGATGCGACTGGCATTGCACTCTCGCATCAGCGGCATTGAAAGTTGACCCGAAACCCCCAGGCGAATATCGAACTTGGACCCTGCTGGCTCGATGGCCGCCTGTAATGCATTGAGCCACTGCCTCCAGTTTCCGGTGCGCAGGCTACGCAGCCAAACGACACTGAGCATTTCCTCATAGCCAGCCAGCTGTCTTCTGATATCCTCATCCTGCACCAGGCTGGTGTACTCAAAGATAACCCCGCCGAAAAGCTGCTTGAGCTGCTTGTCCTTCTTCCAGTATTCTTCAATTACCATCGGACTGCAATGGAGCCAAAGAGTTCTTATTGGCATCTTAAATGGGAAAACATGGTGCTATACCCACCTTACAGTCTTGAATAGACTTTTGGTGTATGTCACGTTAATATCCAGTCCCAGGACATTCAACTGTCCCAATTGAACCTGCTTAGAGGACGGACTTTTATAAACCGACAAAGAAAAAATATCACGCTCACTGACCGTCCCCTACCTTCTCAATAAGCCTGTTCTTTGGCGGATAAGCCGTGTAGCTGACATACTTGAGCTCAAGCCCAACAATGTCGTAGCAAATCCCCGCACTCTTAATGGATCCCATTTCGCCGAAGTCCTGCGCAACCACGAGCGTCATGTGGTCTCCACAGTCTGGTAAGCTGGTTCGACTCTCGAACAATTGGGAAACCGTCGTTCCCCTACAACGAACACTTGATATAGTGTCTGAAGGGTATTTTTTCGAATTAAAATAGTCAAGATTACAAGAGAAAATTTCACTTGTGTCCTCAAGATTCATCCAGTTGTACCTACCAAAATAATCAATAGAAAAATAACAAAAAATTAAATTACGGGTATATTGAGTCTAAAACAGCAAAAACATTTGCCAAGAATGGTAACTAAGCCTTATTTTGATGGAAAGTGAAATGTTGAAGCAACTAGTGTAACAAACCTCCCTCCATTAACTTCAAACCCTCCTGCACAATACATCTGTACCGATTCGTAGGAGTCTCGTACAAATGGGACCTGGGCGTCAGTCAAAAGGTGCCTCGACCCGAAGCTTGTCAAGATTAGGGGTGCTGGATCCATTATCGCCATTTCGCAGCGTCCGATAACATCCTCGGGCAGTATGGAGAGGACCGATAGCCCCAGAATAAGGGTGTACAGAGGTAGCATCGCGATTATTTTCAACTGATTGAGACCGATCGAAGGCGGAGTATTTATGTAGGAAATGAGGGAAAGAGAGAGACCCGAAGCGCAGACGATTCATATTTTGTTTTTGTATTCTTTCTCTCGAGACACACCGACTCGACGCTGACCGAGGCATTGACGAAGCCGAGTAGCATTTCGGAGGCGAAGGTAGCGTAAAAGAGAATTGAAGTAAAAGCCCCGCGCGCCCGTACCTTGAAGCGTCAAACGAAAATTAAAAAGAATGTTTTCCTCATGCAACATCTTTGTATTGTATAGTCTTTGGTAATAGTCATATCAATATACAAAACTAGCTGAGTAAGGTATTTTTAAAAGTACTCGGGTGTTCTTATCTCCCTTGTCAGGCACCTTTCTATATTTACGTGCATTAATAAACTCGTGTTTCCACTTAAATCTGGAAAAATGACTTTAAAATGTGCTTCCCGCTCAGCGATCTTCGTATTGAAAATAATGCAAGTACAGTGGGTAGGACGCTAGGGAAGATGCTCCGTACGCCGAGTAGTCCTAGCTTTTAACCAGACTAGAGTCATTCTCTACTTAATAAAGCCTTCAATACCAGAGGTTCTTTGTGCCCTAAATGTTTTTTTAAAGGTAAAACCGAGACGATTTTGAGCCGAAATGAGTTGGCAAAAGTCATTTTGTGAGTAGCGCACAGTGGGCGAAATGGCCAATCTAGCTCCATTTAATTCAAAATTTCATGGCAGAGTCTGTTGAAACTTTTGTGTGATATCGATTCTCAATACCTCACTGAGTATGAAAGTAATTGCCATTTTGGTTTTCTCTCATATTTCGTTAAGCTGGGGAACGTCAAACGCTGTTATAAACAAGTCTTGGCACCGTTTTTGTTAAGCTGGAAAACATTTGTGCAAAGAGTAAAAAATCAAAGCGTAGCTAAAATTTATTCTGAACTATCAATTTATAGACTTGTAGCTTTTTGGTCAAAGGAATATATGACGTTTAATTGTATAAGCTAGTTTAAAATAGCTGTGGAAGTTGACCTTTGGAAAAGTTTTGCTTAAAAAACATATTGCATTGTTTGGTGGAGTGCATCTTGAGAGATGTGTACGATCTAGTTCAATTGTTTTTGATACACATTTTCAAAGTTATTGTGAATTTGGATGCCCAAAATTATCGGCACATGGCTGCCGAAAATAATAGTAATTTAATTTTTGGAAAATTTCCATCCCAGGACGAACTTTTCCACTTCCGAACAACGGTCGCTACTAAAAAGTCTATTGCGGTTGAAAATTACATATTTTCAAATGTGTTTAATAATAATGATTATTCATAAGAACAACACAAAGAAATGCAAGAAGGATAAGAACACTTGTAAGCACGTTGCTGCAAAAAAGGAAAAAATGTAACGGAACATTTTCACATTTCAAAAAGTGGTGGTGAGAGAAATGCTTCTAAAGTTATATCATTGAAGAAGAGGTTGTGGCAAAAACAATAAAATGTTCTAGCAGTGATCCCAAACTTCCTGTTAAATTCAGTCCTGAGGAAGTTTTGGCGATTAATGTAGATGGGCGATTTACGAAAAATTCATACAAGCTAGTGAAAACGAAAACTAAATCTTCCAACGCAAATATTTTTCCAAGCTACGATTTATTGAGAAACGTTAAAGTGAAATGCTAACATAAATCCACGTTATTGGGTCGGACACATCCCTCTTGGATGTTACACACCTCCACTTTCAACACAAATCCAATACATCCCTAAAATCTTCGAGCATCGGGTATAAAAATGCTTGAAAAGCGTTATAGATGAGTGCACATCACATTGGGAGGTTTCTATATTCGTATGATTCACAGACCTGGCTTTTGATATTGGGACTTCGCGTTTGCTTGAGCTGTCGACACCCTTTCTCATATTGGTGGTATCTTCTTACTGTTTATTTTTAAGCTGTGCATTAAGACAGGTCACCTTTTGAGAGTGGTACCTGGCAAAAGTTTATGGGAAAATTAAATCCGATTTTCGTGAACCAACAGGCCTCAAAAGCCACTTTCAATATTGGTCCAGCGGGTAGGCGTCATCCAGTGGTGGTCATTTGAGTTGGTGACCAGGCTCGGCAGCACTAGCGTTCTGCAGATAATGTGTTACTTTTTATGCTGTAAATTCATAGTAAATTATTTAAATACCGCAAATGGGTACTACACTACCTATGTATATAGTTTATGATATGATATGTTTATGATACAACATATACACTACACTTGCATCATTATCTCGTAATCACCGGTACGTTTATACGCCATTTTGTTCAACAAATTGGTTCTTAAATAAACAACACGCAAATCTTTTCTGTGTTCGCGGCAAAATAATTTTGTGATTGAAGAGCTGCACATCTTATTATTGCGGTCGATAATTTCAGTTTTATAAATATCCCTATGGATATTGACGAAATGAGCAAGCATTTTATTGGAAAGAGTTTCGTTTCAAAATCGATTCGAGGATAAACAATCCAAAATGTACTCGCTCCGACTTTTATTTTCTGACTAAAAAGAAAATTATAAGGCAACCGTGGGTTGAAAAACTAATAAATACTCGGAATTAAGAATAAAAGCTATCAACAATTCTCAAATTAACATTAAAATTTTAGTAGGTATGAGAAGTGGTATTAAAATTCAATTTAAAATTTAAAAACCGATTACTGATACGAAACAGTGCTTCCATCACAGTTTTGGATACGGACGTGCACTTTCCAACTCTTTTGCGATAACATGCTACGTTATCGCAACAATCGATATACTATCTTTTTGTAGATGTATTTTGGCAGCACTGTGACACTAACCAAACAGTATGTAGATGTGCCAGTTTATACTACGAAAGCGTCACACACGGGTTTTGGTCTGGGCACCCCAGAGACTTCGGCTCTGGCGTTCGGGTACTGACGCGTCATCAGAGAGAGAACATCTTTGCATGTGTTAGTACACAAGCAATATGTTTCGGCAAAAATATGTGATTGTTGGTTTTTTTCTTTTTCAGATTTTTTGCTTCCAGCATGTTTTAATGTATGGGTGCACATGCATTCTCACGTACTTAGCGTGTGTGTGTTTAGTATTGCTGACCGCTAGAACTGAAATTTGAGTTTGGTTCTTGTTTTGGGTCTTTTGATGAACTGACCTACCGCCACAAAATAAATGAAGAATGGGCAGGGGGTGAGGGGGTGAGGGGGTGAGGGGGGTTGACGGTACACTGATTTATACCACAAAATATAAAATATTACAATAATATAAATACACATCGTAGTAGTATGAACTGGCACATCTACTGTATGGTTAGTAGCAGAGCCTATTATGGTAAATGGCGGAAAACAATGGTGTGTTCTTCTCGTAGATCATTCATATCCTAATGTGCCGTTACCTCTGAACACATCATTTCAACCGATAAGCGTGTACATATTTATTGAATTGTTTATAAAATATGGTTTTTGTTAATGTAACCGATACAAGCGGCGCATCTCTAAGATGTGTGACGTATAGAGGGAATCTGTTTTTACAATTCAAAAATTATGAACACGTAGCATATTCGACATGCAAAAGTTCATTTTTTAAATCAGTTACTGAAATTCAATCAGGTTTATTCGGTCTCGCTGAAAGATAAGTAAAATCACATAAAAAACAATCGCCGAGCAACAGCGCTGTTAACTATTAACACCACGTTAACAGTCTGTGAACGTAAAAACGTTTCGCTGCAAAAGCACGCTATCCATCTTTCACGATCCACACGACATCCAAGCTTACGTTACCAGGTAAACTAGAATAAAGAATTAATTCAGTTCTTACCCCCGAGGTGCATGGTGCTTTTGTTCTTCGAAGTGACATAGAGAATATAAATATTATAAGGTGAATATATATGTACATATATATATATAGAATAGAATCGAATCCTTGAAATATTTTTTCAAATTACCCAAAACCTTTTTAAAATATATTCAAAAACCCACTACGAAGACGCCGCCCAGTGCTCTAAAGTCGCGTACCGGTAAATTTTGGCATGTAAAAAGGGGTGCGGCTCGTAATTATATTGTTTACACGCGCGTAGATCTAGTAGCTGAAAAAAATCAAACAATAAATAAAACGAAATGAATGAGCTTCACTTATACTTTCATACATACATATGTATGAATGCACGTACCTACATACAGCACAGCAAATAAATCCGACAGCATGAATATGTACATATGTCTTAAATTAAATTGGGATATATTGTGACGCCAATATAAAGTCGTAAAAAATTCCGGTAAGTCCCCGGAATTCGGTAGGTGGTAATGTGAGACAAATTGTCTCAGACAATGAAGTGGAGATGGCGGGATGGACAAGGAAATACGGCGTGCTTCCGTGTCGGCAAATCCAAAAATAATGTACACTTTTTCATCCATGCAACCACTGCATATATTTTATATATTTTGTTTGTCTTCATATTAAATTAACGAAATAGGATGTACAAATGCCATACTCCGGTTGAAAAGCTACAAGTAAGAAATGACGTGACATTCCATACTCTGGCACTATTTTTTCTTTGACTTGTTTTGCTTAAACCTTGCTTTAGACACAATGAGTACTTAAAGTAGATAATCTTGTAGAAAATGTATTCATCAATTGCCTAAAATTATGTGGGCAGAGCTAAGGGTTTCTTTGTTAGTCAGTAAGTCAAGTAGAAAATATCAAATCGAATATCAATATCGAGGAACCAAGGGGGTATTTTAATATTCCAATCTACAAGAAGAATTTAAAATTAGTAATATTTCCCGCCATTTGCTTCAAGTCGTTGAAGTGTTTAAATAGAGGGGGCCTAAGTGGGCTAAGTACGGTTTCTTATCACTATATTGTTGTTGAGGCACCAAATTTATGCAAAAACAATAAAACAAGCCAGTGAAGTAGAAAATGGATTCATTAATCGGATACAATTATGTGGGCAGTGTTGAGGGTTCCATCACTAACCATACTGTATGAAAAGGATCTTATAGAATTGAGGAAATG